ACTACAGCAAATGTCCACGGCCCAGATTGAATCTAGGCCGATCTAACGATCACGGATGTCTGATAGTGTTTGAATTTGAATTTGTTTCTACAAATCTAAATTACTTGAAATTTTAGACGTGTGTTCTTCAAAAATTGGTGAATCTACGAAAAATATAAAAAATATTTTGACATAAATAAATTGACCAAAATACCCATGAAACTTTTTGGGGGGTTTTTGATCAATTTGTTATTCATCAATTTTTATTTTTATTTTTTTTAGGTGCGCCTTGATGTGAAGAACATACGCCTAAAATTTCCAGTGATTTAGATTTGTAGAAAAAAAAAATTAAAATTCTAATACTATTGGACATTTGTGAGAATCAGATCTGTCACGTAATGGGTCAGATTCAATCTGGGCCATTCGCGTATGGTTGTACAATAGTGACTCCTTATATATATATATATATATATATATATATATAAGTCTTTTAAATGCCTATAGGCGAAAATGAACAGTGATTTTGTCTACTCTCATCACCGTCCAAAATTCATCGCACGATCACGATTGAACAATAATTTAAACCATTTTTGAATTTTAAAATTTTATAATAGATAAAATAGATTCTCATGCCAAGTTTTTTACATTCAAATTACATCTTATTATAAAATTTGGAGGTGTACCTCATTTTCGTTTTAATTGTTTAAAGTTGCAACCTGTTTACAATACTTTTTCGGTGCAAGACCATGTGGGCTGGCAGATCACCAATATTTTTTTTCCACTTCTAAGTAAATCAGTTTTTTGGCATGCCAATCTTAATCTCCTTTGTTGTGTGACCTAGGGTTCATGTTCTGGAACCAAAGTGGGTTGCAAAGCTTCATCCATCCTCTACATAAGGTTAGGGCAATCCCACGTGTGGACGCACACGACAACAAGTGTGGAGCCCTCTTCCAAGTGGACTTATTCAACCGTGTGAAGAGCATCCCACGTGTGGGGAGCACAGCGAATTGGATGAGTACCACAACAAATGAAGGCGAATAGGTTTTTGCACGTGCTAACAATGTGTTTTGCCTTAAAATAGAGGGATACTCTTGTCTTTGAACTAAATGTTGATAAAATAAGCATGGACCTCACCAAAACATGTGCGTCCTCTAATGCATCATACGTCCATTTTAAAGATGGACATAAAAAAAAGGTACATCCAATAAAAGTTATAATGGTACTATAAGAGAGAATATTTAAAACTATCGTTTTTATTTTGCAAAAAAAGAAATTCCAAATTCGTTATCATCAACAAACTCTAAAATTTTGGCTAAATGTATTTGTATGTTAGATTTTAAAGGGGGACCGTACATAACATATAAAGAGTGGTTGACTCACTAAACTGGTGCACACTACCTTTAGTCAAAGAATCTATTTCACAATTAGCCTCTCGACAGCAATGATAAAGCTTAGCAGAGAGATTAGCTTAATCATTGCTCTAATTTCATAAAAAAACTATGACTGATCCCATTGGCAAAATCACTTTCAATAATCTTATACGTCTCGAGATTTGAAATGATTATGAGTCCCTTCAACAGGTCTTTAGTTTTTTTTTTACTCACTGTAGTTGAACTACAAGGCCTAGAACAAGAAAAAGGGATCTACCATAGTTATTTCTTATAATTTTTCAAAAACTAGCGGGATTTGCCATCAAAGTTAAGTTTGATACTTCTTTCAGGTGGAAATCCTAGGGGTCATCCAATGTTGTAGCACCATTCTAATGATGTTTAGGGTTTGGATATGTAGGTTTTAAGAGTTTCCTACCCCAATTCTAAAGGTCCATGGTGAAAGGGCAGTGAAGAAGGAGGTGGTCCACAGTTTCATTATCAGCTTTGCAAATGATGCATCGTTTGTCAAAATGAATCATCTATTTTTCAAATTATTAATAGTGGCCAATTTACTTTCGAAAGCGATCCATAAGAAAAGCTGTACCTTGACAGGAACATGTAACTTCCAAATTCTTGCTAGATCCAACTTCAACGACTGTCTGCGATCTTGATAGAGAAGCCTATATATTGATCTAACAGTGAACTCACTTGAGTAATTCAATAGAATTGTGAAGCAATTCGACTTCACCTTATAGACGAGGCGAGTTTTGGGCGCGTTGGTTGTACATTTCTATTTTTTAGTTTAATTTTATTAATATTTCAAATCTAAATTAGATATGTTAAAATATCTTTTCGGTCATTCCTAATAGCCTCCACGATAGTGGATCTCTTATAAAGAGGGCTATTTATAAAGGGAGCAATAACCAGCATACCAATCTCAAGACTTCTTGTAAAGAGGTCTATTTATAGAGGGAGCAATAACCAACAGGCCCATGTGTTACTTAAAGATAGCCAATGTGGTACTCAAAGATAAAAAGCGGCGCTTGTACTATACATAATTGGCTTTGATGTTTATTTTTTTAAAAAAAATAATTAAGTCGGATTCGGGTAAGTTATTCGGAATCGTTCGAGTAAATCACATCGGTGAGTGCTCGAGTACCTTTATCGAGTCAATTTTCCGAAAAGGGTAACTCGGCCAAGACCCATACCATCCCGGAATTGGTTTTGATTTGATGGGATAATGCCATTGCTTTTTTTTTTCTCTATTCCTTTTTTACCCCCGGTATCTACTCGAGTTTGAAATGTATATCAATATTCACTGCTCACGGGTTTCCCTCGCCTGTAAAGATCGCTCGAGTACCTCCTGTTATTTTCCTGTCATTAGTCTCTTAAGTTTCAAGTGTAGTAGGTTCCAATTAGAACGAGCAGTGTTTTAAAATCCGACAATTTCTTATTTGAATGTGAATCGGTCAGGACTGAACCAGCTTTGAAATGACATTACTTCTAGCCTAGTTCCTCCTTGAAATGTACTTTTTCATTTATTTTTTTTTTCTTTTAAGTTTATCTAATGTTGTTTGTGGTCTCTTCTAGATCACCAACCTATAAACCTCTATTTTAAATTTTATTTATTTTAAAATTTTTTGGATAATCAATCTAGACGATTTGAAAACAATCCAAATTGTCAATACAACCATTCAAATCGAGATTGGAGATGGACCATCGACCCCACGGATCAGATTTTTTAAACATTAAAAAGGTTGGTCAAAGACTTAAGTTGGTTACCCGAGAGATCGCTCTCAGTGTAGACAAATATCGTGAACATTAAACTTTAAAAAAGTGAGAAGAGTGATAAGGATCGACGTGGCTCACTGTATTTGGAGGTTTTAGCTTCAAATTATCATCAAGCTTTTAATTTCACTAAAATGCGAAAGGTGTCATTATTTACTTTTTAATACAAGATGCCACAATCTCTCTCTTTCACCCATTTTTATGAAATTCGGTGGTTACGAGTGTACTATTAATTAAAATTAAAGTTTAAAAAGCTTTTTTTCAACTTTATGACATATCCTATATTGATGAATTTTATATATGATAGGCATGAGTAAATGTGACTTTTTGCACTGGGACAAATTGTTGAGAAATTTTGTATAGGCTTCTAATTCTTCATATTCTATTATGGTAGGTATTTTTTCTGTTTTTTTTTCAAGCAGTAAAAAGAAATTTTTAAGGATTTCACCGTACTTCTTCATTTCTTAATTTTTTCTTTTATTGACTTTTGACCACAAAAATTAGCCTTCACAAATATTTTCATATTATTTTAACTCAAAGACTTTTTTAATGGGTGGAAAGAAAAAAAAATGTTAAAAAGTTTTTGAGTTGAAATGGTATAAAAAAATTTGTTCGTGCTAATTTTTATTGTCAAAAGTTAATAAAAGAGGGAGATAAGAGATGAGGGGGTACGGTAAAATATTTAACGGTTTCTTTATGCTACTTGAAAGAAAAACGGAAGGAGGGTCTACTATGAAATAATATGAGGAATTAGATGTCTATACGGAATTTTTCCTAACTTGTTCTATAATATACAATACCAATATAAAATAATAATGTTGTTATGCCCAGCTAAAGAGATTAGATTTGTGTTAAGTAGACAGTTAACGTAAAACTTTATCAAAACTTATTATGAATCAAGAACCTACAGGTATTTCCTTGAAGCAGCACATTGTATCATAACCCGAGCAAAGTGAGAAATGAGTAAGGGTTAACTAGAGCGTTTCTCATAAACAAGGCGCGGTAGTGCTTCTTAGTTGCGATGAAAAATAGACAAAATTTTTAGTGACATTTTGAAAAAACATATGGGTAAATGAACTAGTCCAAAAAAATAGGACCAATCCGAATTAATGACGATGATAACTTTGGAAAGAAACGTGGAAAGATCAACGTAACCCATCTCCGTGTCCACTCCACTCCCTCTCTCTCAACGTTAAAAGTTAAAACCAAGGTTCCAAAGCGGTTCACTTCTAGGAACAAAGTTAAAAAAACGGGTGCTACGTCTTTTCCACTTTACAATGGTGATGGTCGTTATAACACAGATGAAAAACGGGAAGGGATGAAGTATTAGAATGGTAAAAGAAATGGAAAATAAGGAAGGGAAATTTTGGGAAACAATTGAAAATTTTGTTTTAAACTTTTCTAGGATTTTGTTTGAATACAATGACCGTTATTTTCAATATTTTTACAGTAACGGCTGTTATTTTCATTCTTCATTTTCAAGTATCATTTTTTCAGTAAAACCAATATCAATATCATGGGCGTGAATCCATTTTGTAAACGATGCTGTACAGTATGGGATTGTGTACAAAGAGATCATTTCTTTTTCATATATATCATTTTTTTTCTTTAAATTTTAAAATGGGTATTTGTAAGAATGTTATTGAATAGACACAAAGTGTACAAATGGGTATTTGACATCTAATGATTGAGAATGATTTTGACTTTCATGTACAAAAGATAAATGGTCTATTTTTAGACAATCCGTGAAAATATATGTGGCATTTTTTCCCTAAATAAACCATTTTTATGCTCCTTGTTGTTTTTATTTATTGAAAATGTATACAAAATGGATCGTTGTAAGAGTGTTACTGAATAAACACAAAGTTCTAAAAAAAAAAATTTCGGACTTCATGACTCACATCAAGCCATCCAATTTGACATCTAATGAGTGAGAATGATTGTGACATCCGTGTACAAAAGATAAAAGGGAAAGTTTATGTAGAGCCTAGGCTCTAAACAATCAAATTAGAGCCTACCTCAAAAATTTCACCAGATGAGGTTGTTTTGACACCCAAATAACATCAAATTGATCATCTCGACATCAACATGCATGGACATGAGAAAAAAATGGATGTCAAGTTTTGGAAATAGTGCATCTTGTATCGCATTTTTTTACTATCAATTTTCAAGATTTTCAACAGTTCATAAATCTACTCAATCTATACTATTTTTGAAGTTTTAAATTTTATAATTAAAGATGAAAATATATTTTAAGGTTATTACAAAGTTTTATAATATTAAAACCATATTTCTTGATACTATTTGAAGGTGGGCTCAAATTTGATTGTTTAGAGCCTCAGATATATACAAACTGTACCCAAAGATAAATGGTTTTTTTGTAAATAATATCTAAAAATACATGTGGCATTTTTTACTTATTTAGACCATTTTTATGCTCCCCAATTTTTTTTATTGAAAATATGTATAATAAGATTATTTATTTTTGGTTAAAAATTATCACAATTATTAATTGATTGTTCGATGTAGAATGGGGTGATCAAGGATGCGTCAGGGACAATATCAAAAATAAAATTTTTCAAATTGTTGTGACACATTTAATCCGTTACCTAAAAATTCAATGAATAATAATGATTATAACCCTGTTGGATTAAAAAATAAATGGTTTTATAGTATACAACTCTTTTTTTTAATTATGGTAATTACTTAACTCCACTAGGCTAGCTGGTCAAAGTGAAAGGACGTCATGTTATCATAACGTCTTGAATTATTATGAAAACAAGACCCCTAGCCCCAGGTTTTAGAAGCTTACAGCCTACTCTAGGGAGATTACACTATAGGGTCCCTTAGGAGGATTTTATGAAAGAGGCCATTTGTACATTTTTTTAA